AATCCAGGGGACCATGGAACATCTTTCAAAATGTCCTGTAACTGTGGTGAATCACCTGTCCTCTTGTTCAGGGAGGACATGGAGACCCCACAAGATGGACTTGAACCAGTGTCCAGTCTACAAAGAGGAGGGTCAGTTCAGAGGAAACATCTCATTTGTGCTTCTAAGTGAAGCCAGATGTGGTTGAGCAGGACCTTTGACTTATCTTCACATAGATGGAACTGGTAACAGAAAGGAGCCCATGTGACCCCTGAGGAACAGATCCTCAAATGACCTTAAGTGTAAAAATAAATTGATTTATTTGGGCCAACTTTATGGTCTTAAACACCCAAAAGGAAAGTATAATCAAAGAGTAAAGTCATCAGTATGTTTCTTTTAAGAGTTCAAGGGATTACACTTCCCAGGCATTAGGCTTAAGTATATATAAAAATTATTTAAATATTTTATTTGTTATTTTAATTTTATATGTGTGTAAGTATTGCCTGCATGTAAGTAAGTGCACCTGTGTTGTGCAATGCCTGCAGAGGACAGAAGAGGCTGTCAGATCCCTTGGAACTGGAGTTATGGACAGTTGTTAGCTACCATGTGGGTGCTGAGATTTGAACTCAGGTCTTTTGTAAGAATAGTCAGTGTTCTTAATCATCGAGCCATCTTTCCAGCCCCATAAAAGTTATTTAGACAATTATTTCTCATTGATGGTTTTGTTCCTAACCAGAAAGTGCTGCTCAGATGTAAGACTTCAAATCTTGGTCTCTAATACTGTAGTGCCCACCTGTAGCTAAGGGAGACAACCAGCTATTGTTCTAAAATGATGGATAAATTTGTTTTCTCCCCCTATCTAGAAGAAGCCTTTGAGAGGGAAGTGACACTGATTATTTTTTTATTTTTAAATTATTTATTTAATAACCACATGATTAGAAGAAGCATTTCATTACAGCATTAACATAATATTCAATAACAATTTTCTGAGCTAAGATGAATCTTTTTTCAAAATTGGCTGTAAATTTTTTAGGTTTACAGTTGAATTGTTACAGTTATACAATATTGTACTCAGTATAAACCCTATGAGACATAAAATTAAATGAGGTTTT